AAAATGATACTCTCCACCATTTTCTTCATTTAATCATCATTCAACCGTTGATGCAAAAGCCAGAACTAAAAGGATGGCAATGGGGGTTAATGGGGTGGATATTAATTCTCCATCCCCACTCTCTTATAATTATTTTTCCTCATTTCCCATTTTCCTTGGGTACTACCCTCCCTATTTCCTAATGGGTTTGGATATTCCCCAACCCAACTTAACCCCTCTTTTTTTATTTTTTATTTTTAAGATTCACAACCAAAACTAAATATACATTCAATCTTTCTTTTTTTAAGGTTCACAACTTTTTTTTTTTTTTGGTAAGATTCACAACCAAAGCTAAATATACATTCAATTTTTATTTTTATTTTTATTTTTGGTAAGATTCACAACCAAAGCTAGATTCACAACCAAAGCTAAATATACATTCAATTTTTTTTTAAGATTCACAACCAAAGCTAAATATACATTCAATCTTATTTTATTTTATTTGACTCAATAACAAAATCAAATACACATTAATTAACATTGTCACATTATTCTTGTCAAATTTTATGCATATCTAGAATTTTTAAAATTTATTTCGAAAAATTCTATTCCTACAAAAAACAATTCCATCTTCTTTTTTAATTTTTTTTTTAATTTTATGTATCTCCTTCTCCTCTCTATTAATTGATCTTCGATAATATGAAGGTGAGTTATTATTCTCGTTTTCATTTTCTTCTTCTTCTTTTTTTTTAAAAAAAAAATTTATTTGCATTTATAGAATAAATTTTCTTATTTCAATATCTCCTGCGATTTTTTTATTGGATTTCTTTCTGATTTGATGGAAACCTTAGATTGAAATTTTCAATTTTCATCTTAACTAATGATCACCTTAATTGAAATTTTGTACAATTTTGTCTTCAATTTTCATGTTTTGGTTATGATTAATTGCGCGTTTTTGATCGACAATCACAATCTTGTCACCGCTAGATTGTCATCATCGCAAATCGTCGTTGTTGTAGTGAGAGGATGAGAGAGAGTGAGAATTAAAACTCTAATTGTCAATAGAGTAGGATGGTAATGGATAACCTACTATGTGGGTATCCATGAAGACCCAACCCAAATACTTGGGTTTCTCCTTTTTTCTTGTTCGTCAGGTAGGGTAAGTGATGTTCTTAAAATCTCAACCGGGGATGGATACCTACTAATTTCTCCATATTTTTTTTTTGGTATATCAGAAAATAATTTCTCCATATGTTTTCACTACTCTGTTGACAATTAGAGTTCTAATTCTCACTCTCTCTCATCCTCTCACTATAACAATGGCGATTTGCGATGACGACAATCTAGCAGTGACAAGATTGTGACTATCAATAAAAAACGAGCAATTAATCATAACCAAAACATGAAAATTGAAGAAAAAAATGTATAAAATTTTAATTAAGGTGATCGCTAATTAAGATGAAAATTGAGAAATTCAATCTAAGGCTACCATCAAATCAGAGAGAAATCCAATAAAACAATTGTAGGAGATATTAAAATAAGAAAATTCATTCTATAAATGTAAATAATTTTTTTTTTTAAAAAAAAGAAAAAGATGAAGAAGATAATTTTGAAGTAAAAAAAGGATACTCTCAACCATTTGCTTCATTTAATCATCATTCAACCGTTGCTGCAAAAGCCACAACTAAAGATAATGATTAATTGTTAAATTGTGACTTGCAAATAACGGGACGATGACTGAATGAAAAAACATACTTCTAAAATGAATAATAGCGGAGAACCTTAAAATATACTCCTTAAATTTACTTAAAACTAATGCGACACAAATTAAATCTTACTAATTCATTTATAAACAAACTAACGTATAACTCATGCTATGCATGGGGTTGAATAATGAATGACAAATTTATTTTTTAATTAATTAAAAATATTTTTACAATAAGTTCTGTCTCTTTTCTAAATTTTTCGCCTTTAGTATTTTTTTAAAAATTATGTCAATTTTTTTTATTTTTCAATTCATCTTGTGTAGATGAATATATATAAAAAGTAAAAACTGAAATTTTTTATAAAGAAAATTAAAAAATTCAAAATAAGACCCAAAAACAAAAAAAAAAAGTTCATTATTTTTTGCTTATTTTTGTCTTTTTTGAATTTTTTTTTTCAAACTTGTTAAAAATTTCAAATTATATATGCTTAAAATTTCACTTCTACTTTCCTTTAAATTGGATGTAGCTAAAAATGGTTTTTTTTTTTTTTTGAAATTCTATATATAGTTTTTATTTTTTTATTTTTAAAGTTAGAAATGGTTAGATGTAATTTATGTCACATGAATATTTTAATTTAAAGAAATTTTAATTAACATTATAAAGTAAATATATTCAAATTTTAGGCCAAAATAAAAAGTGGAATTAATTTTAAGTACAATTACATTTTGACTTTTTAAAAAAGCTTTTTAAATTTCAAGTTAAGTATGAATATGGCTACAACGTTTGTTTGCTTTCTATATAAAAATAAAATAAAATTTTAAAGTATAGAAATGGAAATAAAATTTAATTTTAAAGTATAGAAATAGAATATGGATATAGATAGTATTAGTAATATATGTCATAGTCATGTTTGATTCACAAAATTAATAGTGAAGTATTAATAATCCTATTAAATTAGTGTGGTATTCACTATCTAATTGGATTAATAATTCCATCCCTACCCCATTACTAATAATCCTACAAATTTGTTGGATTAACTATCCATTTGATTAATAATCTTAAACCAAAATGTTAAAACAAACATAGGATAATTGGGCCCACGGGATTAATAATCCTAATCTCATACTCTAATCCACCCAATCAAACATGCATAGTTCATAAATTAAAAAATGTTTTCATATTAATCAAGGAATTAATTAAAACTTTAAAGTTAAACAACCAATGATAATTTTTCATGTGTATTTATATAATTCTTTTTAAAAAAATAGAGTTTGAACTTTAGAGATCAAAAGCCTAACAATACTTTTGCTTATATAATAGTATAGATAGATATATATTCACATCTTAATTGAACTTTGAGAATAAAGAAGGTTGTAGAAAATATATATATATATTTAAATGAAGATATTGTATATCTTTAAAAACTATTATATAAAGAAGATATAACAAAAAATTATCAAAAAAAATATGATAATAAAATTTCTCCAATATATATTTTTCAATAAGACCCACACGTTAAAGCATCATAGTAATAACACACCACCAAAAAACAAAAATCAAAATAAATACACACACAAAAAGCTAGCAATACACCATTATATACATCTATATTGACAAACAAATTCACAGCATAAAGTGATAGAAATTTATGTAACTTTTATTATTCTAATAGTTTTTTTATTTTTTTATTTTTATAGATAGGATATTGAAATAGTTAAAACCAAGCTCAATTGTGATAGATGTAGAACATGTAATTGTTGGAGGTATATGATTGCTAGGATTTTTTTATAGGAGAAATGCAACTGTAAGGTATGTATATTAATAACCATTACTGAATTTTGATAGTTTCCATTTTGTTAATGTTTTCTTTTGTCTATTCTTTATTTTCTTTTCGTGTAGTTGTATTTTTGAAACAAAAATGAGAGTTCCAAAATCCTATGATTTGTTTCTTTTTTTTTCTCCTAAAATACTTATCATATTGATTATTAGACTAATGAAATGGAAAGAAAATAATAGTAATGGAAAGAACCAATAGAATAATTACAAATATATTCTTTGTAATTGAAAAATAAAAAATCATAGAAAAATGGATTAAAGTTTTGAGGCTCAAAGAGCCAAAATATTTTTACTTATATTATATATATATATATAACTAGCAATTGGGATAAGTTCCCCTCCATACATTTTCTCTCCGCACCTCTCCATATTTATTTTATGGGTTTTAATTTGAATCCGCATTAATAATTCAAACCGTCTATCTTATAGGCCTTGCAATAAAAGTCATCTATGCAAAAAATTAATCTCATCGAATAATTATATACATGGAAACAAATTGTATTTTGTTTTATAAGATAGATGGTTTAAATTTAATTATATTTACTATTCATTTTATAAAATAAGATGTGATATATTTATAATTTTCTGATGAAGTTAATTTTTTGTATAGATAACTTTTATTGTAGTGCCTAAGAGATAGATGATTTAGATAATCAATATAAGTCTGAATTAAAACTTACCAGAAAAACATAAAAAGATATAGAGAGATAAGATATGGAGGAGAGTTTATCCCGTGACAAGGCAACTATAGCTACAGTAAAAATTAAGTATGGTATTTAGGGCCTTTATTGTTGCTAATTAAGGATGGTATTTATTTAGGGCCTTTATTGTTAAGCATTTTCCTTTCAGAATAAATAGTGGTGTTTTGAAAAGTTGATAAAATGTTAGTTTTTTTTTAACCCTTTTTTAGTATATTTTATCCTTTTGTGGATAAAAAATATGAGAAATAATCAGTGTGTTTGGTTTGAATTTTTTGAATTAAGTTTTTTGAATTAAGTTTTTTGAAAATTAAGTTTTTTAGTTTTCGTATTTTTTTTGTTTTTAGTGAATATTTTTTAAATTTTAAATATTTTTTTTACTTTTTAGATGCACTTTATTTAGATGTATCTAAAAAATAAAAAAATTGTGAAAAAATATTTTAAAAAATTAATAAATACATAAAAATATAAAAAATGTACTGAATTTAGGTATGTCTAAAAATTTTAAAATTTTTTAAAATTTTAAAAAAAATCAATAAAAATAAAAAAACACAAAAAATAAGAAAATAAAATTTTTTAAAAAATATTTTTTTAAAAAGTGAAACTAAGTAAATGACTCAAAATAAATAAAAAGTTAAAAACTGATTTTTTATTTTTTTATTTTTTTATTTTTCTTCTCAAAAGACCCCATAGTCCAAGACTTATCCCCAAACAACACCTCCCTGTCTATATATATATATATATATATATCTGCCATCCCATACTCAACATCACAACACTACACAACCTTTCACACAAACCAAACCAAACCAACCATTCAAGAAAACAGAAAACACTACTAGTTGTACTATCACAACTTAGAACAAGAAGATGATGAGCCTTGGCACTAACGGTTATGCTTCACCGGCGGCGAGGAAGATGGGCTACGATGTAGCGGAGGGCGTCGACATAAGGGGACGATACGACGAAGAGTTTGCGAGGATTTTGACAAAGGACGCTCTGCGATTCGTCGCTGAATTGCAGAGGGAGTTTAGGAACCATGTCAAGTATGCAATGGAGTGTAGGAAGGAGGCCAAGATGAGGTATAATGCTGGTGCGCTGCCTGGGTTTGATCCCGCTACGAGGTGTGTGAGGGAGGGGGACTGGACTTGTGCCGCTGTGCCGCCGGCCGTGGCGGATCGGAGGGTGGAGATTACGGGCCCGGTGGAGAGGAAGATGATTATCAATGCACTCAACTCTGGAGCTAAAGTTTTCATGGTAACTGTCATTTTTTTTGTTAACATGTATTATGTGTTGGATCGATTTATTTATTTGTTCCTAAACTTTAACTCAATAGGACAAACCAAATTCACTATTGGATGAGTTAGAGCATCTTCAACGGTGTACCAAATGTTTCACTAAATTTGAGTAAAAAAGGGGTCATTTCCTTAATTTGATATCTCGCACTCCAACGGTTCAACATCAAATCCGTTTCATCAAATTTGCGCTGGGCAACCAGTTGGTTGACCGGCCGGTCGACCGGCTGGTCAACCGGTAACGGCAAAATTTTTTTTTTTTTTTATACCGGTTTGAACCTTTTTTTTTTGAACTTTTTGAACTTTTGGTGGTCGACCGGGTGGTCGACCACCTAGGCAATTTTTTTTTTTTTTTTTTTTTGAACCTTTTTGTGAATGGTCTAACTTTCTCCGGGGCGACCGGTTGGTTAACCGGTTGGTCAACCGGATGGTCGACCCGTTCGTCTCATCCCAACGGTTAGGAACAATGATTTGCTGAAATGCTTCGCCTGCACTCAGTTTGGTACCATTTTTGCTGAATTCTGGATTTGATATCGATTTGGTAAAACTGTTGGAGCTTAAAAAAGTGACTTTTTCACCAAATTTTAAATTTGATGCCAGGTTTGGTTCACCGTTGGAGATGGTCTTATACATTAATTTCTGTTTAGTATAGTTGTATTTTCATTTTCATTTTTCTTATTTTTTATTTAAAAAAAATGATAAAATTTGAAAACATTCTACTTTTTCATATCGTTTTATTTTTACACAACAATCACTGTATTTGATTTGAATTTTTTGGATTAAGTTTTTTTAAAATTGACTTTTTTGATTTTTGTGTTTTTTTGTTTTTAGTGAATATTTTTTAAATTTTAAACATTTTTTTTTACTTTTTTAGATGCACCTTACTTAGATGTATCTAAAAAGTAAAAAATTTATGAAAAAATATTTTAAAAAATTAATAAATACAATAAAAATATAAAAAATGTACTGAATTCTTGTATTTTTTTTTGTATTTTTGGTATTTAGTGAATTTTTAAAAAGATTTTTTTATAATTTTTTACTTTTTAGGTTTATTTATGTTAGGTGTGTCTAAAAAGTAAAAAATTGCTTAAATATTAAAAAATTTAGTAAAAATAAAAAAAATATGGCAAATAAAAAAATAGAATTTTCTGAAAAGTGTTGTGGATAATTGGAAACCAAGAAGGTGAATAGTTTTGGAAACATCAAAATAAACATTTTAGTCCGTCCTAAGAAACAGTTCATTCTTTTTATAAAAAAAATAAAATTGAAAGACCTGTTAATAAGCTCTTAAAGACTTAACGAAGGTGATTTGGTGACCCACCAAACTAAAAAACAAGACATAAATCAGTAATCGACTTTATATGAATTCTTTAAAATAAATTAAATATTATCCTTAACACTGGTTCGATACCTTTTCATTACACATTTTATATATTTTATTTAACATTATCATTATATTATTAATATTATTATATATATATTATTATTATTATATAATATTTTGGGGATGTTTGATCATGATACTCAATAATTCAAGCGAGACTGATAATCGAAAACAAAATTGACCAACATGGAAAACCTTCCATATTCTAATTTCATGTATGACTATGACTATGACTATGCAAGCAATTACTTACTATATCATAATTCTTTGCTGTTCTCTTTCTAAATTGTATTCCCTCATCCAACTAACAAAGAATACTGAAATTTTTGTTGTTTAACACAGGCCGACTTTGAAGATGCGCTCTCACCAAGTTGGGAGAACCTTATGAGAGGACAAGTTAACCTGAAGGATGCTGTAGATGGAACTATAAGCTTCCGTGACCAGGCCAGGAACAGGGTTTACAAGCTTAATAATCAGATCGCTAAACTTTTTGTCCGCCCAAGAGGTTGGCACCTGCCTGAGGCTCACATGTTCATCGATGGTGAACCGGCAATTGGTTGCCTTGTGGACTTTGGCCTCTATTTTTACCACAACTATGCAGCATTCTGTCGGAACCAAGGTGCAGGGTTCGGACCTTTTTTCTATCTCCCTAAAATGGAACACTCAAGGTAAAAAATCTTGAATTTTAAGTAGTTTAAGTTCGTATGTGATAGTGGTTGTGCATAGCCACTAGTTCAGTGATTAAAACCTAGGCCTATTAACAGCCAATTCGCGCCTTCATGCCAAAGGGTTATGTTTCTACCCAATCTAACCTCTCCCAAACACCCTTAATATTAAGGCACTAATTGGGCATTGTTTACTGTAAAAAAAAGAAAAAGAAAAAGAGGAGTGTTTTCCTAATTTGGTAAATTCTAACAACAATTATACACGATCCACCATTGGTACATGTGTTGGTACTATGGAATTTCTAATTTAAGTACTGTGTTTTGGCAGGGAAGCTAGAATATGGAACAATGTCTTTGAGAAGGCAGAGAAAATGGCTGGAATAGAAAACGGTAGCATCAGAGCCACTGTTCTAATCGAAACACTTCCAGCTGTGTTCCAAATGGATGAAATCCTCTATGAGCTAAGGGATCACTCAGTTGGCTTGAACTGTGGTAGGTGGGATTACATATTCAGCTACGTCAAAACTTTCCAGGCTCACCCTGATCGCCTGCTACCAGATAGGGTTCAAGTTGGCATGACTCAACAATTCATGAGGAGTTACTCTGATCTCCTCATCAGGACTTGCCATAGGCGTGGTGTGCACGCCATGGGAGGCATGGTATATATTTCTCTATGATCTTATACATTCACAAGGCAGAGCACTTGGTTTTTTAGGGTTCTATTTAGAAAGTTTGAATACCTGGTAATGCATAACAAAAGTCAAATTCTTAATTCTTGAACAGGCAGCTCAAATTCCAATTAGGGATGATCCAGCAGCAAATGAGGTAGCACTGGAACTGGTAAAAAAGGATAAGCTAAGAGAGGTAAGGGCAGGGCATGATGGAACTTGGGCAGCCCACCCGGGGTTGATTCCAGCCATCATGGAAGTCTTTAACAGCAACATGGGCAATGCACCTAACCAAATCCAAACCATGAAGCGAGAAGATGCTGCAAACCTGACTGAAGAAGACCTCTTGCAGAGGCCTAGAGGGGTCCGAACGATGGAAGGCCTCCGGCTCAACACCCGGGTTGGAATCCAGTACGTGGCAGCATGGCTCACAGGAACCGGGTCGGTTCCTCTTTACAACCTCATGGAGGATGCTGCTACTGCTGAGATTAGCAGAGTTCAGAACTGGCAGTGGCTGAAATATGGAGTGGTGTTGGATGGAGATGGGCTTGGTGTGAAAGTGAGCTTGGATCTCTTTGGAAGGGTGGTTGAAGAAGAGATGGCTAGGATTGAAAGAGAAATCGGTAGAGAAAAGTTCAACAAGGGAATGTACAAGGAGGCTTCCAAGATATTCACTCGGCAATGCACAACTCCGATGCTCGATGATTTTCTGACCCTAGACGCCTACAACAATATCGTCATCCATCACCCCAAGGGATCCTCAAGGCTTTGAAAAATATTGTCATATGGGAACCAATGTGAAACATCACGAGTTTTCAGGATTCTTGTTATTGCTGTGTGTTCTGGTTGTGCTTTGTTGTCTGCTATATGGCTGCTACAACTGCTAGTACTAATAATATAATAATTTCTAGTAATTTTTGGAGCTGTTTTTTATTATGTTTTTACTTCCTGATGTACTATGGATGAAATTTGTGAACATTCAATAAATATCAAGACTGTCAATCTTGGTGTGTTTCGGTTTGCATTGTGTTCTTGTGAATGAATCTAATTTAGCTTTGGAATAAATTTTTACAAATGCAGAACATGTCAACAAGCCAAAGGTATGGCCTTTTTACCCCAAAGAGGCAATACTTACCATGTTGATTTCAGCAGTTAATCACAAAATTACAATAGAAATGTTATCACTGAATTATGAATATGCAAATGCATAAAGAATAAATTTAAGCCATGTTGAGGAAAGCACAATTTTTATCTTGTCTGAATGAATAAAAAGAGTCCACTTCAACCTAATAATGTAAAAGGTATGCATTCTCTCATGGATCATCAAGTTTAAGAGAATAATATAAAGAGAAAAGTGTTGAGAAATAAAAAGTGCAGAAATGAAATATCAAAAACCAAAGAGCATTACGTGTAGCAAAATTAATTTCTTACTTGCAAATAAGGAACTAGCAAGAGAATTGTACGGGAAATAAATAAACCTTTTCGTATAATCCTGTTGACCAAGTCTACTCTCCTCCGTACGTCATCGCTTTATCACCTGAAAACACAAACGTGAGCTAGTCGGCGGGTGTGTGCCGGAAACCTCTCCGATGCTTAAGTCAGTAAGCTTGACAAATAGACAAAAGCTCTGTGTATTCAGAAAGCATAGTTGTGTGTTACCTCTCCAAAGGTGATGTTTGTGAGTTTTTATAGGTTTCGTGTGGCACAATCCTAGTAGGACTTCTATTCCTCCATGCAGAGTCCTCCTAGGATTCATACTCCTGAAGGATAATGCTTATCCTTTAACACCCCCCTTATTGCTTAAACCAAGTGAGATGGTTTTATCATGGCCGAACTCCAATACGACCGAAGTAAATATGTTTATGTACAGTCGAAGAGTAAGCCGACTATCTCTTCCTTTTATTGCTCTTACGGCGGCTCCTTATGCACAACCCATGGCGTGGTCAGACCGAACTAATATTTCGAGACCGGTGTAACTCCAAGACTGGTCTAATTCCAAGAAACCTTTAGACCGATCTAACTTCGATCTTCTACCGGACCGGTCTAGCTTCACGTCCTTAGGACCGGACTAACTCCAAAATATCGCACGACCGGAGTATCTTACATGGCCATTTCACTTCGGCCCTTTATACTGTGGCTCATAACGGCCCATCACCTAGCTCGGCCCAATTTTCACATAAATTACCCTCTCAAGAACCTTTATTGAATGTATTTATCAGATGGAATCTGCAAACTGAAGATGACTTTGATTAACATTTCTTTAGCATCAAAGTTTCCATACAATTTCTCTCTTTAAGTCCCCAATTCTGGCTAGATTTTTTCTCTTTTCTGGGAGTTATACCAATCGGATAGATTAAATCAACTCATTTAGGTATTCAAATCAAAGGAACACCAAAATCTCCTGTTGCAACCACAACAAGGAAAACACTTCAGCCACAAATTGTGTGGCTTAGATACCTAGCTTTCTGATCTTTCTCGGAGTTAAACCAACAAATTAAAATCATCTGTTTGTTATAATTTATTGTAAGCTAAAAACTTATAATCAAATATCAGAAGTCAAAAGCACCCCTCCCGTAACTTCTAGGTAATTAGCTTTTTTTTCAGCTTATTTAAACCATTTCTACCTAATAAGTTGTAATAAACAGAAGTTGAACTAAACAATCTGAAACAAACTCCCAAATTAAAATAAGTTATAAACATCTTATTTAATTTGCATCAAACACCTTTGTGGCTCAAATCACAAGAACACCATAATCTCCAGTTGTAACCACCACGAAGAAAACACTCTTTAGCTATGATTTGGCAAGGAATATAGCTAGCTCGGTGATCTTTCTCGAAGTTAAACCAATCAATTAAAATCACTTAATTTTGGGCTCAAATCACATGAATACCAAAATCCCCAGTTATTATAATTGTTAGGATCAAACACACCCAGAAAATAATCTTACACACACAGAGAACACAATATTTACGTGGTTCGGCCCAATGCCTACGTCCACGGAGCAGAAATGAGAATTTTCACTAAAACAGAGCAAAAATACAAAACGGAGGAGGAAGAGTATCTCACTCTCTCTACTCAACTCAGAGCTCTCATACACTTCTCACAACTCTCTCTTTTCTGATGATACATCATCTCCTACATGTCTCTATTTATACACAAAGATGAAAGATAGAGTGAGGAGACAAACCCACACAATTTTCTACATTCTTTAATGGTGAGAGTGAGTGTCAACCATAGCAACAACATGAAGGGAATGGAGAAGCTTGCAGATGCCTAGCTCAGACTTTCACTTGGGTAGAAGTCCTCGTACGCCATGCATGTGGGTTGGAGCAACAATTCTCCCCCTCCATACCCACATGTATATCTAACTTCTCACTTGAAGTCCATCCCGACAATGTCTCTACAAATTTTGAGTTTGTCTCTCGAGACCACCTTTATAAGCATGTCAGCTGGATTCTTATTTGTATGGATCTTGATCAGTTCCAATAACTGCTTTTCTATCACTTCGCGTATCCAATGATACCGAACATCAATGTGCTTTGTGCGAGAATGGTACATAGAATTCTTGCTCATGTCTATGGCACTCTAGCTATCACAATGTACCATGAACCCCTGGATTGGAAAGGAATCTGCTTACTACTCCAACAACATGAGTAATATCTGGTCGGGTGGACACCATTGCATACATCAAACTCCCTACGGCATAAGTATGGAATAGCCTCCATCTCTTCTCTTTCTTTTGTAGAGGAGGGATAGGAACTCTTGCTCAGCTTAAAATGATTAGCTAGTGGAGTACTGACTGGCTTGACATCTTTCATGTTGAACTTCTCAATCACCCGTTCAACGTACTTCTCCTGTGACAGCCATAACTTCTTGGCTTTCCTGTCACGCACAATTTTCATGCCCAAATTTACTGTGCAGGGCCTAGGTCCTTCATGTCAAAGGACAGTGATAACTCCTTATTCAGTGATCTGATTGCTATGGCATCTTGTCCAACGATCAGCATGTCATCAACATAGAGCAGGAGTATGATGAAGTTTCCACTGGGAAATTTCCTGACATAAACACACTGGTCTACAGCAGTTCTCTTGTACTCATGACCCACCATGAATGAGTCAAACTTCTTGTACCACTGTCTCGGCGCTTGTTTGAGGCCGTAGAGACTTCTTCAATTTGCAGACTAAATTTTCTTTCCGTTTGACTTCAAAACCTTCTGGCTGCTCTATGTAAATTTCTTTCTTCAGATCACCATGGAGAAATGCCGTCTTCACATCCATCTATTCAAGTTCCAAATTCAAACTGGCCACTAGTCCCAAAACTACTCGAATGGATGATATTTTCACAAGTGGTGAGAAAATTTCATCAAAATCAATACTTTTCTTTTGCTCAAAACCTTTGACAACCAATCAAGCCTTATACTTGACTAGCTTTCCGCTACCATCTTTCTTCAACTTGAACACCCATTTGTTCTGTAATGCTTTTTGACCCTAGGGAAGTTTTACCAAATCATAAGTCTGATTCTTTTGCAAGGACTGCATCTTCTCTTGCATAGCTTGCTTCCAACTACTATTCTCTTTATGATTCTGAGCTTCGTGAAAACTTTCTGGCTCCCCCTCATCAGTAAGCAAAATATACTCAGAAGCAGGGTATTTTAACGACGGTTTAGACTCTCTTGTTGATCTTCATAACTGTGGACTAACAGTCTCTGGTGGAGGGGGTTGTGGCTGTCCCTGCTCAACACCTTCTTCTTCTGGAAATCCATTCTGCAACTCTACATCATTTGCTACATGTTGCGGTAGCTCTTCTTCATTAGTGGCATGTTGTGATGGTGCAGGATTCAGAATAATTTTTGAAATATCATCAACTTTGGTTTAGATGTGAACATCACTGATTCCTACAATCTTTGAAAAACTAGAGTTACATATCTTCACTGTACCAAAATCTCCAGCTTGGTACGTACTGAAGAACTCCTTCCGAGATGTGGTGTGGTAGGAAGCTACTATATCTACCACCCACTCGCTGTCGTTGTTTGACATATGGAGGCATTCTTCTTCTTCAACAGAGAATAATGCAATATCCTCTAAGACAGTAACTGCAGTGTTCCCATCTTCAATCTTTGGCTGTCTATTACCTTGTTTTTGTTCTCCCTTCAAGGCATAGCAATATTTCTTTATGTGACCCTCCTTGCCACATTGGTAACACTTGAACTTTGACCGGCTCATACCTTCTCTGGATTTCCCTCTATCTTGAGATTTTCCTCTGCTGCATCATCTGCTTTTATTTCTTCCTCTATCTCTGTCTCTGCCTCTATTTTTTGTGACGAGAGCATGGGACTGATCTCTACCCATGTCTTTCTTTCTTGCTTCTTCACTGAATAGAGTATCTGTAACCATGCTCATGGTCAGTTTTCCTTCAGGTGCAAAGTTACTGGAGGACACCACCAACGTCTTCCAACTGTCTGGCAAAGAGCTGAGCAGCAATAGGGCCTACATCTCATCATCTAACTCCATTTTGACAGTTGCCAGTTGGTTCACCAGATTTTCAAACTCACTAGTGTGTTCATCAACAGAGATACCGTCTTTCAACTTCAAATTCACAAGTCTTTTCATTAGAAGGGCTTTGTTTCGAGCAGTCTTCGACTGATACATGCCTTCTAACTTCGTCCAGAGAGCATAGGCATCAGTCTCTTGGGCGACATGGTAGAAGACGCTATAATTGATCCATTGTCTGATCTGGCCAATGGTTTTTCGGTTCTTCCACTTCCAATCTTCGTCAGTTTCCATTGCTGGTTTAACTCCATTAAGTTCAATGGGGTCAAACAAATCTCGGTAATACAAAACATCCTCGATTCTAAGCTTCCAGATTGCATAGTTGGAAGCAGTCAACTTTATCATGAATCCTAAAGTCGACGTTGATTCCTCCATTAAAACTTGTCTCAATAGAAAATGATCTCTGTTTGAAAATCAGGTTTTGCTATTGAGTCTGGACTGGTCAAATTAGCAGAAAAAGCACTTTAGATTACC